AAAAATAATTTCTTTCAATTTTCAGTGCAACGCCATTCATTTTAGTGACTTTAAAACACCTCCCAAATAACAATTTCCGTTAAAATTTGCCAAGCACAAACTGGGATTCAAACCTGTGATTTCGCCTCAATTTGGTAACTTTAAAACAACCCTAAACAGTCCACCAGCGGCCGAGTGGATAAAACCATTAAACACTGGTAGTTTGTTGTGGGTTCGTGTCTCGCCAAAGGGCTGTCTACGTAGAGTTTTCCGGATTATTCACGTTAGTAACATCTAAATAGGGGGGCAGTTCCTAATAAAAACTATCCCCTCAGTAGATCGCCCAAACCAAAAACTAAATCTCCATTTAAATTCCCACTAAAAGCGGTATTTGGACCCGTAATCTCGCGAAGTAGAAACAACCCTTTAACACAAACGCCTGCCAAATCGATTCTTAAACTATTTTATTACTTCAAACACAAAATACGATTAATATATATATATTATCCGAATTATGGAATATCGATTATCTGGTAATTTACATAAAGGTAAACATAGCAACAGATGCTACAAATTTTAAAACGATATTTATAACACAGCTCATTAATCCCAACAAATAAATTTTCCACCGAAATTTCTGAATTAATGATCATAAGTTTGCATTACATAAATCTCAACTAAATCCACATTACAAATTAGACGACATTAAAATGGCGGTTTCGCTACTGACAGAATTCAATAAATTTTCGTAAACATGATAAAATTCCTTCTCATCTATCAACTATGGCGACAGAATCGGATATTGATATCATAGTCGGATTCAAACCTGAAATAGTAGACGTTTTTGCGATTGATAGACAGCACTATATCTTCTAGAAATTCTCTATATCCGGAATAACATTCTTCTTCTAAGCTTCCGTCGCTCTGATTGGTTACGTCTATGTAATTTTGAGCAGCAGCATCATCCAAATTAATATCTAAAAAATAAATCGAATTTAATTTTAATGTATTCTATTCGGTAAACATGATAAACGTGAAGAGATTGACATTTTAAACTCCCGTTTTAATGATTTATAACTATAAAACTCGATATAGCGCCAATCAATTCTGGTGAACGTATCTTCCTCGTAACTTATCTCTGATAAATGTAAGATTTTTGCATTAAAATGGACGAAATCATCAAATATTGTGAGAAAATATCATTATTATAAGCAATTTTTAGTGTTTACATTCTTCGGTTTAGCGTTACCCTCGTTTTACCGCCGATTTCAGAGGCGAACGAATGGCGGCGTTATATCGAGGCTTATTAACTGTACATTTACATTATTTTTATACATTATGTAAATATATACTTTCTGTGTCCCTTATACTTTTATATATAATAACATCAGGGCCCTCGAGAATTTGCATGGGGTCAGGAGTTAGAGGGAACCTCATATTCCCTTTAGCGGGCCCCATTTTCGTTTTTGTAAACAAAAGAAATATGTAAAATGTTTATTAATAAAAAGAAATTTAAACAACTTTATTTTTAATTAGTAAAAATTACATTAATTTATAGGGATAGAAACCACTACCGACTCTGAAGCTAGGGATTTTTCTTTGGCCAGGGGAAAATCCCTAGCTCCTCCCTCTCGAGTGCTCTGCATAAAAATTTTGAAGGCATTGGTCTATAAATATCTTACGCAAAATAAATTTACATTTTAATCCAATATAAAAATTGGTTTTTAAATAATATTTTACCAATTTCCTCACAAGTGTCTTATTTACATTTTCTTTCTTCGCTCCCTTTTTTTATCATCCTTTTATCATCTTCCTCATCCCAAACCTTTATATCAAACCGTATATATTTCTACACTTTAAACTTAAATCACATTTTCATTCTATTCACAATTTCCAATTTTAAATCCTCACTTTATCTCATTCCCTCCCATTCCTTGGGACTATTCACATAAACTCTATTCACCCATTCTTCCTCACGTCTTATTGACTTCCTTACCAAATCTACCTCACTTTCCATCCCATTCATCATTTTTCTCACCTCATTTCTTTTCGTATCCCATTCAATTTTCTTCAACTTATTTCATATATCTGTAAAGCTTATCCTTCAAAACAGAAAGGAAAAGAATTTCTTCTTCTCCTGCCTACCTATAAACTACAGCAATAGCAATAAAAACACAACATAAACAATACCTTCCAACTGGCGCACGATACAAATAATCCTTTCGGGTGCAGTTTTCGATAACTTGAGGGCATGTTTCATGTGACTGTGAACACCTGCAAACAAAGATCTGTTACATAAAGTATCCTGAATATCCTTGTAAATCTGTCAGCGTTTTTTAATTACCAGAAATTAATTTGTGCTGGCAGCAATCGTCCTTTAGTTGACCCTCTTCCAAGGCTATTCTGGTTCCATAACTCAGGATCTTCACTAATTTCTCGTGTTCCTCCAGCCATTCGTGGATTTGTTGTTCGTATACTAACCTTGTACAATCTTCCGGTTTCCTGATACATAAATGTTTATTAAATATAATTAAATAATTATTTGAGGAAATTAAATTGCTAAAATTATTACCTCAATCGGAATTTTTTATATTTACTAGAAACAGGTTGAATGACGTAAGCGGGAGGAACTAAATTTAAATTCTCTTTGTACCATTGGTCTAACAGAGTGACGTCGAGTCCGGCTTCGATTACCGCCGTTCTGATTGGACGAAATTCATTTGAATCTATCTGGTTAGGCAGTATGTAAGGTTTATACTTGTTACCCACGAGACACTATAACGTTTTAAGGATATTTAATGAATAAATATCGTTTTTTAACCTTGTTTTAACGAATTTTTTGACTCACCACTAAAAAGCACCCCACTGAAACGTTATGCCCATCTTCGATCTCGTTTAACTGGTGAGCAAATGCTATTGAATCTAATGTAGAATCAATGTCATTTTCGTATTGTGCATCCAAAATTTCGATATCAATACCAAAGCTATTGCATTGACGTTGAAGTTCTGGAATTAATACTTCTTGAATACGTTTCCGTTCGTGTTCAAAATCTAAAAAAGATTATAAAATATAATTAAATTTTTGCATAAAAATTAGTATTAAATGCTCATTAAGTCAAGTTTTTTGGGCGCTTTTTGGGCATCAAATTAATTCAATTTTTAAGCCTTTTTGTGAAATTTTACTCACAAAAATCTATTCAAAAATTTAAAACGAAGAATATTAAATTAAAATATTTCATTTAAACTCCTTAAACCAGTACAGAAGTTTATTATCAACTCTATATTTATGACACTTGCAATGGCAAATTTTGCATGATTTATTTATTTAATAATGCTTTAAAAAAGAGAAAAAATATAAACATTTTATTATGTAAAATATTGTAAAAATTTAACGAAGAGGCTCGTTTCCAATAGTTATAATATATATATATTTAAAGAAAGGAAGAACGATAGAAAACAAATAGGAAAGGATGAGATTTCAGAGATAAATCGATAAAATAAAATTTAAAATTTTTATATCATGCATAATTTTGTTTTTATTAAAAAAATCAAGAATAAATATCATGAATTAAACATTTAAAAAGATGAATAAAAGTATTATATTTATAAAAAATGTATTAAATATATTCGAAAAATGAGGAGAAAAATAGTCTTTAGAGAAAATTCCGAAAGGAACGTCAATCAAAGAATCGAACATTTTCGATTTTTTTTCCCTTCAGAAACTCTACTTCTGAAGGCTTAAAATCGAAATAAAATTCGAATTAAATTTATATTTTTTAAGTAATTTTTAGCGGAAATTATAAAGTTTAAACCGTTGACAAGTAACACGGTTATAACTGACGTCTTATTAATTAGTTGACAAATGTCTTTGTCTGTCATATCAATTCATCCAAAGCACCATGAATGGTGATGAGTTATATTAAGAGTTAATCCAATTTTCCTAGTTGTATCTGCTCTAACAATAACTGAATGATATCTATTTCATCCATAATTTTATTATTTATTACATTTGATAATAATAAACAATTTTATGCGTTGCTTACATTAAAAAGTAATTAAAAATTTGAGGAAATTATATTATAGGAAATTAATATATAACTGTATGGTACAACATTTTCTGTTAACAGAATTTAAAAAGTTAATATCAGGTTGGAATTAACTCTTCTTAGATAGGATGTCTATTTTCTATCTTCCAGTGAAGAGAGATGATTCTTCCTGATGCTAAAATGAGGATAGAATAAATTTCTTTTTAATGCTAATAATTGTACGATAAGCAAATAACTATCGGTAACAATATAATCATCTTAATCGTGTTAAATTTTAACATATAATTGTACTATTTTAAATACAGTATTACATGCAATTATTAACATTATAAAAAACTTATTCTGTCCTCATTTTATCATCGGGAAGAATATTATAATAATTGCGCTTCAGAAAATGCAATTGAAAATAATCCAAGCAATCTTCATAATACTGTTTAATTCATCTTAAAGAATTTAAGCATTAACAAATATTGACATTTTAAAGATTAGATGGCTTATTTGGATAAAAAGCAAATTCCAAATCATTTTCAAATGGCACTAAGCATTTTAGGGATAAGCTAGATAACGCTTCTAAATCGGGTATAGCTAAAATGCTATGAGAGCTAATTATTTCATACCATAATGTTTTAGAAAAACCATTATTTGATCCTTTAGAGGGATAATCAAAAAATGATCCCCAAAATTTTGATTCGAGACAATTACTTTCTTCGGAATATTTTCCGACTTTCATTTCTTCGACAATTGCAATAGTTTTGCATCTTCCGTAGTTGGATGGCGAAAATACATCTTCAATAATTGAATCTCCTACATAAAGTATGTTGGGTTTTTGTTTCCCAGTTACTTTACTAAAAAAAGTTTTAAGATCTTTCCAATTGCCTTGCGAATAAACACCTTTTAATTCGAGACTGTCACAACTTATGATTTCGCCTTCTTCCATTCCGTTTAAAGTCAGAAAAGGACGCTGACTCGTAAAGAAACCGGGTTTCCTAGCAAACATAAAGCTGATATCAAAGTACTCGTTCCAGTCGTCTCCTAAGCAAAATCGACCGATAAAGTCTGCGTAATCTATATTCGAGCTAGTCAAGAGAAACAGCTTTTTATCTCGCTTAAGTTCCAGTAGCCATTGTAGGAACGCCCGACTACAGGGAACCAAGTAATTTTCGGGATTCTTTTTGAGGTTCGAGAAAAAACCTTTCACGTCGTCTTTGAAATGGTCGCGTCTGTACATGTAAATTAACCCGTCGTACACATCCTGCCATATATTATAGCAGGGTAACCAACTACCGTATTCTTTATCGACGATATCGACCAGCCTGGCGCATATCAATATTACGGGCAGTACGAAATAATCTCTGAATACGTAGTACGGCTTTTGCTGAGCGTCCGACCGACACAGACCTTCCGGTAGCTCTAACAATTGATCCCAAGTGTGATTTTCTCCGTAGAATTTTACAATCTGTTCGTCGGTCATCGGCGTAGTGCCGTGAGTCGCTTTCAGAATCAAAAAATCCGAAGATACTTTAAGAAAATTTCCGTTCAGTTTATCAAATACGATTCCTTTCTGTACGAAATCTTCTCCACTCTCGTAAGATTTATATAAATCTTTAGAGTATCCTCTTCGTTCGACCAAAAATGAAGCCATGTTTTCATATATAAGTTCAAACAAAGGCCGTAGCTTGTATCTGCATAGCGTGTGATCTAGATCGAAACCTATAACATCGAAATTCGATAGAGAAAACCCATTTTGTTGTCTTTCCATCTTTCTTGAGCTGCAACTATAACTATTTGAATCGAACAGTAATATTTTCGTGATGTTTTTCCTGAATTTAAAAGGAGTTAAGTAGACTCTAAAGAGCATGACCTTCAGTCGTCCATTGTTAAGCATGTAATGAGAATACATTTAGATATACGTGAAAGTAAACAAAAATTAATTTTAATAACTTAATTAGAATTAATAATAATTACAATAAATTGCAATATTTGACATTCGAAAGTTAATTTTTTCATTAAATAATAATGCTTACTAGAGGACGACAGACTCCATGTTGTCATAGATATAAAAAAAAAATTAATTTTTGTATAATTTATTTATTTATTTATTTATTATTATTATTTAATGAATTTGAAAATAAAAATATTTTAAATAAATACAAAATTAAAAATATTTCATCTTATTTCGACGTTTTAATGATTGTATTTTTATCGCGTCTCATTAACAGTAAACAAGATTAAATGCATTTAAAATGTGTGTCATAAATAAAAATTCTTGTTTATGATTCATCGGCTTTGTAAAGGATAAATTTAATCTTATAATAATTCGGCTTCTTTATTAGATGATTGGATGATAAACCCGTCTCCGTTTGTTTCCTTTGAAGACACTTAAACAACACTTTATCGATTAAATTTTTATGTTTTGAAATTTTAAAATAATTTTTCGGGTTGATTTCTAACTTATTAAAAGTAGAATTTGGGTTATTGGAAGCTTTTAAATATAATTATTTAGGAGCAGCTTTAAGAAAACGTGTTGAAAATATTTTGTAGATACGATTTTCATTCTAATTGATGGCCGAGTGGTTAAGATGGCATCTTACCGTTCTGGGGACCCGGAATCGCATCCGGATGAGTCGAAAAATTCCCTGAATTTTTCGGGTGGTGGTCCATCCGAATATATCGGGCCCAATTTCTCACCATCCGTCCACCCCAATATGGCTGAACCCATAATGGGCTTGCGACAGGGGTCAACATTAAAATTCTACCTTAATTAAAATGTTTTATCGAACCCTTTTTTCATTTTTTTGGTTCTTTTCTCTTTTATTTATTTATTTATTTTTACTTTCCATACCCATTGTGGATTCGACCAGACCCACAAGGGGAGCAGCCGGGTGGTAAGGAATGGGACCCGACATATCAGCCACTTGCCACCTGCGGTTGTTTATCCAGGTTTCCTATAGCGGTAAAGCCGAGGCAGTTTATTAACCACCTCATAGCTCATGTAGCTACGCATTTGAAATAATCGGTAAACGGTTCGATAGGTTAGTGTTTCCAGTTCGGGGTTCGATTACCGCGTCGGTTAATAAAAAGTTTTTGGTTGTAAAATCTAAATTTGAAAACAACATTAGTCAGCAATGAATCTTTTAGAAAAACAATAAAATGCAAATTTAAAATTATCACATCATTGTTAACAGACAAATTCTAACGAAACGCTTACAAAATAAAAAGTCCGATCGAATGTTCATTAATTTTTCAACGTTCGAACTGCTAAAGCAATCTTAGATATTCGTTCATAAGGGCCTACCTCATGGCTATGATATTGTTAAGAAGCATTAATTTACTATCTAATAGGTTACTGTGTTGTAATCGCCCATCAGTAGCCGAGTGAATAACACTACTGACAGTTGGTAGTTGGTCATGGTTTTGCGCCTCGCCAACAGGTTGGTCACGTGGAGTTATTTTCACGATTGTAACACTTAATTAACTCTTTCCGCCCTGTGGGCACTAAGATCTTTTTCAGCAAGCCCATTATGGCTTTGGCCAGGCCCACAATGGGGTGAGGAACGGGGTCCATAACATTCGTGGGGCTTTTTCGACTTGTCCGGGTTCGATCAAGATCGATGCTTCCCAGAGCTGCCACATTGATCGCCCGGCCATCCGGCCGTCGTATAAAATTACACTATAAAAATTTGTACTCGTAATTATTACCCAACAATTTTTCGAAAATGTTACGGTCACTCTCTACATGAAAAAATGTTGATAGGTTAGGCGATTTATCACAACTTGTGCATTTCGCCATGACAATTGCATCTTGAACCTGCTTTACAATTAAAACTAACTTGGACGAATTTTGAACCACTAGGCCTATACGATGTTCTCCACATTTGTAAGTTTTTATCAATAGTTAATCTCTCTACTTTAAAAACGTTTTGACAAATCGGTGCGGTGTATGAAAACAACTGTAACATATTTCTGTGTGTTCGTGGTAATGTAAATTACAAACAATTTCGTGTTTTGGTTAACTTTTTCCATCTTGTAGACACCAAGAAGGCCTTTCAATGGATTCATTAAATCGAACCCATAATGATCTATTAAAAGGCCTTACAAATGAGTGTCTACATCAGATCAAGCATCTTTGACCATTTTGTTTTTTAGTGTAGCATAAACAAAAAAAGCTTTCAAATATTTCTGTACATTTATCGTTGAATTATATTTCGGATTCGTTTCAACAATGATATTTGTTCATACCTGTGTATAATATAAAAATTGTATACAGGTAATCGCTGGCAATCTTTTTAAGGGTAACTGGCCGCTATTTAGGTATGGAGAACACTCGGAAAACTCCACGTGGCTAATCCGTCCTGGCGAGACGCGAATACACGACGGAACTCCCAGTGTTCAGGGACTGAAACCGATTTGTACATTTCGAGATAGAAGAAGCGGCAAATTAAGCCATTTCAAAACTTAACGATATGCTTTTCAATGGAAAAATTTATGCTGGCAATTTTATCCCTCGAACCAACGTGAAAATTGCTTGGACTTATTGAAAGGTTACTGGAGGTCGAGAGTAGGGACTTAACATCTTGTAAAACGCACAGAGGACAATATCGTTTCAAGGTTATGGCGTTTGGTTTAAAGAATGCCGCTGCCACCTTCCAAGGAGGAATGAACAAAGCCTTGGCTCAATTTCGAGATTTTGCGCGGACATACATTGACGACATCGCCCATGATCGCTCTCTTCTCAAGTGACTGGGAAACACATCTAGACCAAGTAGATAAGGTTCTCGCGAAATTGGAAGAACTACGTTTCACCGTAAATATCAAAAAATGCTCCTTCGCTAAGTCCGAGATCAAGTATCTTGGACACGCCATCGGCTCAGGGAAGCGTCGCACAGATCCCGACAAGGTTCAAGCCACCTCGCGGTTACTCGTACCTAGAACCAAAAGGCAATTAACAAGCCTCTTAGGTTTATGCAATTATTATAGAGAATATATACCCAACTGTGTTGCCGTAGCCTATCCACTCACAGAACTTACCAACAGAAAGGTTCCAGACATNACTTGAGTGTCTTGGGGCTTTGTCAAAATAGAAACACCATGGGAATGAAATAATGATGGAACCAATCCAAAAAGAGGTTCTTTATTGTCCAAGCTTTCTTGTTTTACATCCAATACATAGGCAGCTTACTGTTGTTACATCTGGTAAGTGCTCTTGGATTATGTATTCAGTAAATTAGAAGTAGGTTTTATCATGTGGCTTGCTGCATTGTTGCAAAATAGCAGCATATTGCAATCTCTGATCACAAAGACTAGGGCCACCTCTTCAAAAGCTCTATAAGCTTATTGAGGTTTCTTCAAAAACAATGCTGTCTCATTGACATTGTAAATCAGTTCAGGTTTACATTTATTTTCATCAATTAACTGTTGTAGTTGTGCAAGGAAAGTCTTAGCTAGCCTCATGATCAACCAAACCTACAATCTTTACATTGTGTAGTAACATATCTTTTTGACATTCTAGAACTAGCCTTTTCTGGCAACAAAAGTGGATCTGTGACACTGCTAATTAAGGAAGACTTACATTTTTTCTATCAGATTTTATTATTATGACTTATTTGTAGATCTCATTATGACAGGTTTTTCTTGTTTTGTTCTTTGATCCAAATGAACAATGCATACTCCATCTTTTTACGTTACTTCATCATTCACATAATTCATACATTTAGCAGTACAAATTTCCATCAACCGTGTTGTGTCTCTGATCTCAGTTGTTTTTTTTTTAATGTATTGTACAGTGCTTACATTGACATAAAACATGCAATCTGTACATGAGCAGCTTTTTAATGCTTTTAGACAACTAAACCAGCATCTACAAACCCAATGTAACTGAGGATGGTTATCTCATGTTTAAATATGTCTGGAAGAGGAGATCTCGATTAGTGTAATTGGAAACGTATCCACATGGTAAGCAGCAGTTGCGGGTTTGAGTCCCGCTCCGGGCCAATTCTTTTCTTCCAGAATTTTCTAAATTATTTNGATTTTATTATTATGACTTATTTGTAGATCTCATTATGACAGGTTTTTCTTGTTTTGTTCTTTGATCCAAATGAACAATGCATACTCCATCTTTTTACGTTACTTCATCATTCACATAATTCATACATTTAGCAGTACAAATTTCCATCAACCGTGTTGTCTCTCTGATCTCAATTTTTTTTTTTTTTTAATGTATTGTACAGTGCTTACATTGACATAAAACATGCAATCTGTACATGAGCAGCCTTTTAATGCTTTTAGACAACTAAACCAGCATCTATAAACACAATGTAACTGAGGATGGTTATCTCGTTTAAATATGTCTGGAAGAGGAGATCTCGGTTAGTGTAATTGGAAACACATCCACATGGTAAGCAGCAGTTGCGGGTTTGAGTCCCACTCCAGGCCAATTCTTTTCTTCCAGAATTTTCTAAATTATTTAATTTAATTGCAGTTAGGCACCATCTCTTATTAGATTTAATAACACCTCCCTCTAATGACAAATTATTTAGTAATTAATCTTAAAATAATTGCAATATAATCCAGTAGTTGTTGACTTTAGACCAAAAATACATATTCTAGATAGTCTCTTTACCCCTTTTGCCTGACTACACATGCTTCTTTTAGAACTCGTGGTATTCATTTAAGCACAGTTATTTTATGTACAGTTAGACAAACGTGTGTTGTTTAAAAGTAAAAAACTGTGCATACTTTTCTGCCTTTTGTCTGCACAACAACCTTCTATTATCATCTCATCAAGACCCTATTGTACTTGCAAATTTTGAAAGAAATAAATAATGACAAACGATTAAAAATATATACTGAATAACCATTAAGAATTATTCTGATCAATATTTTTTGGGCTGCAATTTGAAAAAATTGTAGATCTATAAATTCACACTGTTGCCCATCCATCCACTTTTCCTTAATCTCAAGAACGGAGTTAGATAAATGAAAGACGAGATCGGGTAGGGAAACCTTAGAAGCAGGAGGCGCCCGTTAATTATATAGGAACTTCTGA